ATGGATCTGGTTCACAGGGACTAGAGGCGAAACAAGAGCAGACTGGCCAGACTGAAGAAGAAAAAATTGTACAGAACCTGAGCCTATGGCATGACCTAGTCCAAGGGGGTTAAGGTGGTAGCGAAGTTCTGAAGGGACAGTGGTTGAGAGTCAAGGCAGCCAATGGGCACACCCTAGTGTGGAAAGGCAGCTAGATTAGGGATAAAGGGGCTTGTCTCCACCGAATGCCCACACTAAATGAAAATCAGTTGGCACTGCCACAATAAAGGGGTTGGAAAGGAATCAGGCATACTAATTAGACACCTGTGGGAAAAGCCAAAGTTGGGCATGGACATACCAAAGTCACAAGTCACCTCGGCCCAGGTGAAAGGAAACCTGTGCCCACAGTCAACACTAGGCACATGACATCACACCACACAGGTGGGCTTAAACTCAGCAAATAAGGTTGGCCAGTACCCTCAACCACACCTCTGCCCCAAGGGGGGATAGGAGGGGATAAAGACCAGACTGAGGGCAAGCCAGTACCCCTCTTGCAGGTCAGAGGATAAGATTTCTCCCACTTGCTCTGGGTTCAGTCACTCTGGGTTCTGTGGACTCTTTCACGATCCCCTGAAGCAGCCATTTTCAGTTGTGAACTTTCCCATGGCCCCACCATGTGTCCTTGCACACTTTCCAGAGACAGTGTGTACTTTTCGGGACTGTAGCACCTGAAACTTCCCCTTCCCTTATAAAAGTCACTTGGACTCAAAAAAGTGCTTCTATCACATGTCTTCTTTCAGTGTTGAGAAGCAAGAATGGAGGCATACTGCCCCTCCCCCAGAACCTAGCAGTGTGGCTGAGAGAGGCAACCCATGTTGAGTTGCCTCAGCTGAAGATACACCTTTCGATCCTGTGAAATTTTGCCTATTGCCTCTTACATGATATTTGGCCTGGCTTGAGTTGACTTTGCTTTTGGATGCAGACTCACAAGGTTCCAACTGGAAGGAGGATTCTTCCCGTCAAAGAATGTGCTTGTATCGTGAGAGCACTGGGTGGATAGAAATGGGCAGTGTAGAAATTGGAAACCCAAAATGGGGAATATAGGTATGAAGTGGCTAACATAAACTTATAGGTGGGGAAGGTGTGAATAGGATTATAGAATTAACGGGTAGGTATTCACATAACTGCAGTGCCAAGGGATATAATTTTATTTTTGCATTTATAGAATATAAGGTTACGAGAGGCTGGTGATTTTCAGTTATATGTGTATTAGTTTTATCCTGTTAGGCACAAAAATGATTTTATTATTGTTTCTGTCTTAAAATTATGTATGGCTAAAGGGTTGTGTAA